TATATCCTAACTATTAATTTCTTTTACATCTAGATCTAACGGTCGGGTATATTCAACCTCCAAACTTAAAAAATAAAGTTTAAATATTATTTTCGTCCATCTACTCTCAATTTTGATTCATTTTAGTTATTATATTGACTTATGTGCTTTCAAATTTTTCATTTTAGTTTCTATACTTTTAAGAAATGATTATTTTGGTCCATTTATTTTCTTTTAATCTCATTTTTTTTCGATCACAATTTCAACACACGACACTATACTTAATAATAGTTTTACATTTATATTTGAGGGTTTCATTGTATATAGAATTTATGTTAAAGTTTTTAAATACGGACTAAAATTTTCACTTTTCAAAAGTATGTGGATCAAAATAAATCAAAGTATAGAGATCGAAATAAGTATTTGAAAAAAAAAATATTATTATTATTATTTATTTTATTCTTAAAACTTTAAATTATCATTGTATAGTATCTATTATTGGTATCATTAACTTATGAGATGGTATGTCTAATAAATAACAAATTTATATTCACTCTCTTCAACCAATGATTTTCCGATGACGTCTTCTCATTTGGTTCATGGAACTTGTACGTGCAAGAAATTTAGGGCATATTGTTCAGTAACGTTTGTGCTTTTTGTTTCTATTTCCTTCTTTTCAAGAAAATAAAATAAAATTGCATTGTCTAACACTTATTCAAGCATTGATAAAACAATATTTTTACTTATATTTTGAAATGACAAATTGGAAATGAGAACAATAAAAAAAAAAAAACTAACTTGTTTTTGTTGTTACCAAAATTTCTATAGAATTATGAGAATTTTTCTAAAAAAGAAAGAACAAGAAACATAAATAATTTCCCACAATTCTTAATAAAATAGAAAATGAGAAACAAGAAATGTGAATGCTACCAAACGGGTTCTTACAACCCAAAACTGACTCTAACTTGCTAGAAAGAAGAAAACTAGGAGACTAATCCCTTTTTTTTAAGAAAAAAATAAGAGACTATTGAAGTGGTCTTGATCAAAGACTCCATCACCTGTTGCACAATATTCATCCAATGCTTGAGACGTGTTTGAATTGCAAAATATGCAACAAAGTCTCACATTCATTAAGGAAAAGAGTGGTTCATAATATATAGATGATTACAATTATTTCCATTGGTATGAGGTATTTTAGGTGAAACCAAAAGCAAAACCATGAAGATTATGTCCAAAACGGACAATATCATACCATTTTGGAGATACTTTGGATACTTAGAGTACCATTATCTTTAACAAGATGATGAGACTAAAAAAAGAGCTAAAACAGAGAGGAACTCGAAGGAAAGCTCGAAGATGAAAGGGAAATGAGAGAGGGGCAAAACTTGGGGGGTGGGGTGGCGGGGCGGGAAAAAGAAAGTAAGGAGCTCCAAATTTATTTTATTATTATTTTTACATATGGGTCTATTGATCGGTTCCCTCTAACTTTGTATGGGCCGACCAACCGATCAGTTAGTTTTGCAAATACAAAACCAACACTAACCGACATGGCCTCAAACCGTAAGGAGCCCTAAATTGTTTTTTCTTTACATATGGGCCGGTCAATTGGTTTCTTATAACTTTCTAGGGCCGATCGACCAGTCACTTTTGCAGATGCAAAACATATCTGACCAACATGGCCTCAAACCCTAAGGAGCCCTAAATTATTTTTTCTTTACATATGGGTCAGTTGATAAGTTCCCTGTAACTTTCTATGAGTCAATCGACCAACCAACCAATCAGTTTTGCATATGCAAAACCAACAGTCAACTCATAATGCCTCAAAACCGAACAAACTATTGTTGATTCAGTTGGCTCGATTTCTCGACTATACTTGTACGCTCTTAGTGTGAAGGGCACCCTTGGCCAACGAGGGACTGCCCTTGGAATGAAACTATGGCTATATGATCCCTCTTGACCGAGACAGTATCGAAGCGAATTTAAACTATTAAAGTCGTAACTAATATAGACTATCAAATTTTAAATTTTAATGATGTAATTGAACATTTTAAAGTTTAATAACCCAATTAAGAGACGTTTGTAAGTATTTTTTAAAGGCAACAAAGAGAGGAAAAACGTAAACTTAAGATAAGTATCCTTTAACTTAATTATTATTTTTCAATTGAATTATTTTATAGAATTAGCAAGTAACAGTGTGATGCACGTAAAATTTATCCCTTTATTTTACTAAATAAAAAAAATATTCACATAAATAGTATAAAATAAGTATGTGTTTAAAAAAATCTACTAAAAAAGTTAAAAAATAACATAATTCGATCCAAATATGATACTTAGTACAATAAATTTTATAATTTATATTTTAATATCATATTTTAGTTATTTCAAATTTTTAAAATTTGTTATTTAATTATTTGATTCCGCATTAACAATAGATAATTTAAAAAGGTACCTAGAGTATAAAATGTTTGTGAAGAAAAATAGTTGAAAAAAAGTGAGTGAAAAAATCTTCCATGATTCTGCTAAAATAATTTTCTTTAAAATTACAACTATAAATGTAGATTGGAAAGATAAAACAATCTGCCTAAAATATAAGACAACACAACATATTGACTCAAGAGAAAAGAAGATTCAAATTTTGGTGAGAGGAACGAGTTGGAAGAGAGTAGGGAAGGCCTCTTAGGAGATAAAGAGTTACAGAACTTTTAGATTTTAAAGTTTTCTGAAATTTCACTATTATTTATAACTAAAAATAATTGATAACATTTTTTTAATTAATTTATAAGAGTAAATTGACAAAATTTTACATGTTCTTGACTCTTGGTATCAATATTGATGGGTTCCATCTCAAAATCAATTGGCAACGAAAAGAGTAACTTATTTATAAGTCGGATCTCATTTTTAGATTGGAGGTTTGTTTGAGCTTTTATAGGCTCTGATGTCGTATTAATACATATGAGATTTCATCTCAAGACCAAATGACAATAAGAGAAGTAACTCACTTATATTATAAACTCTTGTTAAGCTCTTTTATCTTTTTAACGTGAGGTCTTTAATATTTGGCAATAAAAATAATTGACCATTAATAGTTTCTCAATAATTAATCCCTTCTTTTGGTGATTCTAAAAAGATAAAAATCCTAAAAAATTAATTATTTAAATTTTTATTCCATAGTAGGTGTGAAAAAGGGAAAATTTAAAGGATAATTTTTAAAAAAATATATATATCTTCCACATCATCTAGAGTTAGAGTTATAGGTAGATAGATTATAGATTATATTATTATTATAATCGAAAAATAGAGGAAGAGATAAAAGAAATTGAGAGAGAGATTTAATTGATAAAATTGTAAATGTTTGGGGAAGAGAATACCCTCGACACGTGGAGGACCGCTATTGGTGCTCCAAGATGACTCATGAGTCATGCCTAGCTCGAACCGCCGAGATCACCACCACTAGCGTTGACAGGTGCTATGTATGAGGGCCGAGGTGCGACCTGGCCAAGGTCCGATCTACCGGGAAGCTCGGTGGGGGCCGATGTGAGCTATTGTCAGCGGCGTGATTATCGGGTGTAACCGTCGGTCCCGAGATTACCGGGTGTAACCGACGGTCCCGAGATTACCGGGTGTAACCGTCGCGAGATTAACGGGACTACCACCCATAAGTAGAGGACCTCACTCCACGATCAGGTACGATGATTTTTGACCTCGAACTAAAACTGGGAATCCGACCTATACTGACTTGATCGTCGGAGTGCTCACCTTTTTGTGCAGGTCCGCCCAAGTGTTCAGATCGGTCCGGAGACCGAGTTCGAGCTGCGATCAGAGATACACTGTTGTGCATATCCTTGCATAAACATTTGGCGCCGTCTGTGGGGAGTCGACAATCTAAGTCATCCCAATTCTTTTAAACCAACATGCGAGCGAAAATGGTTCAACCAGCAAACTCGACCAATACGGCAGATCGAAGGACTCTAGCTGTCAGCGATGCCCAC